TGCAGCCCTCGTCTCCGGCTGGATGAGCCTGCTCCCCCCTTCCCCGCCGTTCATCAGGCGGGGGTACTTGCGGGACGCTCAATGGGTTACCCTCCTGATTTGGCTGGAGCAGCGGGATCCTTGATCCCCCCCCTGCTTTCTGGGAGTGCCTGGGGGTCCTTTCTCCCCTTTCTCTTTCTATTGCCCTTCCCTTCCTGGCCGTCCAGGGGTTGCGGCACGCATTGGGGACTGTTGCGACCCCTATAGGGTGCCCGCATTGTCTCTTATTGCTTGGTACGGGTTTAGAGGTAGGCGATACAGCGTTCTTCCCGGATTCTCGGAGGGGGGCTGTGCTGGACGTGCCACCCCCTCCCTTGTTCCTCGCTCCTTGTTACGCCTCTTGCCCATCTTGGGGGGGGGGCAGTTTTCGACTGTCCTCCCCTATGTGTGTGTGCCTCTCCCGCTTCCGCCCTTCCCGGGACCCGGCTACGCCTTCTTCCTGGCTCCTCGTAGTCGATGCTATTCGGGGTTCCCCTATACCGTGAACCCCCCTGGCCACTATGCACAGCCTTCCCCTGCGCGCTCTTGTTACCCACCTCCTTGGGTTCGGCACATCATTGTTGCCCCATGATTTTTCACCGTTGCACACCACGGTGTTTCCCTCGCGGCTCCTTCCCGCGCTCTCTCTGGTGTTCGTCGCCCCCGCACTCTCTTCGCCCCCCGCCCCTTCGGCGGGCTCCTGGCGCCCCTTTCCCCCTCTCGCTCACAGTACCTCCCGCTTCTCACATCAGATTGCCCAGTCCTGTCTTTCTCGGACATCCAATCGTCGCGGGTCGCGACTCGGGGGGGGGGGGAGTGATGTACCGCACTAACCGGTACCCGGGGGTATCGACATCCCCCTACGGTAACTGGCCCAAGAGGGCTATTGTTACGATAGTGTAGGGGTTAGAGTTGCTATACCGGAACTAGGGCGGTGGCCACCGGTACCTGGGGTACCCCCAGGTACCGGCGCTCGGGTGTGGCCCCAAGTACGTAGTACTTGGGGTCCGGTGCTGGGTCCCGGCTTAACGGCCTTTGAGCGCCCGTACTGGCAGGCTTCTCTCACCCCCTGTTGCGCGCTGCCGCGCAACAAGATCCCTGCGCACGCCCTCTGCATGGTGTTCTGTATTTGCAGCCTGCCTCAGGGAACTTTGCATTGTTTTCAAAATTTAGCAGACAGCTTCACCGCCCTTCTGCTAGAGGTGGCCACCCGGATCCGTTAATAACGGACAGAGATTAATTCCGTTAATTAATCCGTTAATTAACGGAAAATAACAAAAAAAGACAAAAATTACCCAAAAATTAACGGATTTTTGGATTTTTGGATTTTTGGGGGATTTTTGGGGTTTTTTCATACTTATAGTTTATGGAATTCGCTATTAGAGAGCATGTTTGTATTTTATTTCAACCTATGCATACTAGATTTTCAACTAGCCGTAGTTGTTGTGATTTTTTGGGTTTTTTTTCGATTTTTTTGGATTTTTTTCGTTTTTTTCTGAATTTTTCTCCCTTTTTCTGTAACGGAATTTAACGAACAGCTGACAAAAATTAACGAACCGGATTTAACGGAGCGGATGGCATCTTGAGTGGCCACCTCTACCTTCTGCTCTGGTGAAGGATGCTCATTTGCATAGCGCATTTCTCTCTTCAATTGAAACGAATCTCGGCCTTATGTGCAATGAGAACCTTGCGCCGGCATGAACGGCACTTGTATGAATATCCAGCGGGCGTGCTCCAAAGTTTCCAAATAAGTCTATGAGCATTCGTGCAAAGGTGGGTTGCCCAAGTCAACAGCATACACCATTGCCACCGGCCGTTCAGCCGTCAGGGCCACTGCATGTCACATATCTTATCCAACATGTTACACAACATTTCGATGTCACCATTCTTTCTACCGTCGCCGGTTTTGTGTCGCTTTTGCAACCATTCCCTGCTCGGTATTCCTCTGAAGAGGAATCATGGCCGGCTCGGCAAAAAGGGCAGAACGTCGCGTCGCCATGCCGAAGGGCTCACAGCCTGCGTCAACCAGAATCCACATAATTAGTGCGACGCAATTGTCCACCAGATCATCACTCCGTCTTCTGCTCCTAGCTTGAGTAGAAAGGCGACGAATTAATATTACTGCCTGCACCAATCGGTGACTGCTTGCACCAAGTCACGTGCACACTTTGTCCTAACCTCATTTTTAGGGTTAGGTTTAGTGTCAGGGTGAGTTTTAGGGTTAGGGTTAGGACAGGTTTAGATTTAGGTTTTAGGTTTTAAGGTTTAGGTTAGGTTAGTTTGGACGGAGTTGGACATGATGTGCACGTGACTTGGTGCAAGAAGTCACCGATTTGGTGCAGCCAGTAATTTTATGCTGAAGGCGACACCATTGTTGTCTCTTGCTCCCCCTACTCCTACCACCGCTCCCGCTCCCTCCGCAGCTACCTGCGCACCTCCGCGCACAACGCACACGCACCCAAGGCCCAGGCCCGGCGAGTTACTGGCACAGCCCCTTATTCTCGACCGCCACAGCGAACCTCGGCTACAGGCCGGTTGACCAGGCCCGCTGCTGCCGCGGTTCGCCAATCCCGCGTCCGACTCGCTCGGGGGGGGGGGCGCCAGCCTGGCGGATCTGAGATGGGCATGTCAACGGAGGCAAGGGGACCCGATCGCGCCTGTGGGGAGGCGGCGTCCTCGTGGCCTTGGGTGAGCTCACGCGCGAAGAAAGAGGCGCGCCCGGATAGGAGATCGAGGATGATCTTTTTGAACGGCGGGGAGCGCGCCGTGCGGGGCCCCAATCCTCGGCTGAGGCTGTCGGGGGCTGATTTTTCGGGCTGTGACGGATGAGGCGGAAATGTTGAGTTGGGCTGGGAATGGCGATCCAGACAGAATAAGGTGCGTGAAGTTGTAACGGGCGCAGTGTTCGCGGCGTCGATGGCGCGAGGATTGATGCTCCAACGCGAGCGGGTTGTGGGGTCGAGGCGTCGCGGCGAAAGAGGCGTTGAGAGTTCCGTTGCCGCGAACGAGAAAGCTGCAATGCGACGGGCACCGCCCTCGGGGGGGAGAAACGTGTTTGTGAGAATCTCTGCGCGAAGCTGTGAAACATGGTGCGGCGATCTGCATGTGCAGCAGGTAGACATGAACCAACAGCACCACGCGTAGCGATAAGACATGCCGCCAGGAGGGCAGGGGTGTTGATTCCTTTTTAGGAACATGGGTGCCAGCAATGTAATTGACCACGCTGCCCGTCCAAGCCGGAATCCGGTGTCGCAGTAAACATATCGCATCAGAATTGCAACGAACAGATTGCATCCTGGGATTGTTGGTGACTTGCTGTGGATTCCGAATTCTATACGTTTGAGACATCAGGTAGCAAACACGTCCTTAGTGTGCAGATGCCACCTAGCAGGACAGCATGAGGGTTTGCTCAATCTCTGGTGTTTGGATCGACTGATTCATCGTGGAGGTGCTGGATGATGGGTGTTCACTTGCTTTTGGTGTGGGCAGTAAGGGCAATCGTCTTTTGGGCTGAAACATTGCACCCTTTGTGCAAAAGGTCAGACGGCAATGAGTCATTTTGAGTCAGTGTTTTGAAAACATGCCCTTCCCAGACAATCCTCTAGAGCTGCCTTTGGTGGAGGGGAAAACAGTGCACACAGAAACATGCAGTACTGAGAGAATGTGCAGCAACAGTGGCACAGAAGGCTCAATTTCATTGTTCAAGTTTGCCTTTCAAAGACAATGTGGGGCCAATGTATCTTGCAGCAATGACATACATGCATACATTCAAAAGCTTTTATGTCCCTCATCCATTCAATGCTTTCTGCTTGCCATCCATAAGACTCAGAAAGATGGTCATGTCTATTGGTTCCATCCAGGGAGAGCCCAGCCAATGGGCAGGATGTGTTTGGACACTTTGCCATGTTCAGCAATTGCATTGCTGTTGCACATCCATTGCCATGCGTCCTGCACAGCCTCCAAGTGTAGAAGAAAAGGCACAGAGCAGTGCAAGGATGATGCTGAGGTTGACTTGATGCTGATACCTTTGGTTCACTGCCGAAGAATTTGAGCCAATCAGGTGGCACAGTAGTCAGTTTTAAGATTTAGGAGACATTTGCTACTGCTCTGATGCATTGGTTTCACAGTTTTTATCAAAAAGGAGACCTTACAACATTTGCTTGCCCAATGGGAGCCGGGGATAGAATGAGAGAAACACAGGCCTTAAAGAGTCCTTGGGACCCTTGTTGCCAATGACACGGGGGAATCCCTCTGATGGCGTTTGTTTGTGTGGGTTGACAGAATTGAGGGACTGGATATGCCCACACATATGTGTTCGTTTTGACAACGCCTCCAGCAAATTTGTTCTTGTTGGTAAAGACAATCTGATGCAACAAACGTGCTCACTGTAAATGGATTCAACCAACAAAAGGCAGATGAGTTCAGCTGATGCCAGAAAATAAAACCAGGGCACCGGCAAGGCAAAGAAAGACCACATGTGCTTCCTCTCAACATTGTTATGTGCCAAAGTGCTCACCAGAAGCCTGTCTTCCACAGCCACTAGGATTGTGCCAGAGAACAAACCATTTTGGGCATCTTCAATCCAGGCTGTCCAGCGCATGACTGCTTGTTGGGCAAAACCGAGGTGAACTGCCAGGTGCTTTTTGGGGCATACAAGTGCTCAGCACCCCCTTCTACGTATCAGAACATTGCAGTACGTTTGAGAGCTATAATCTCCCTTTAGGGTACAGGATGGCTCCCTTGAAAATGCAACTGGAATCCAATCCATCCTCCATGTGCATCTATATGCACGTGTTATCACAGCTCTTGGCTGTCTTACAACAAATCCAATTCATGCAATATTCACTGTGTCATTAGTGCCACTCATCACCAATGCAGATGAATCCCACATCCTTGACACACCATTACCAGCTGCCTGGGATTGCGTGCAGCCCACAGAGGATGGAGAGGCGGTGGGTGTCGTTGGCGATGTCGTCCTAGGCATGGTGGACAGCATTGTAGCAGACTGTCGGCAGGACGATGTCCAGTGGGCGGAAGCTGCAGCGGAGCCAGTGGCGCTGAAGGTGCTGAACACCCACAAGCCAGGGGACTGTGATGTGATGGATGTGGATGACGAGTGGAGAAACAGCATCATGGTGAGCTCGAATATGTGCGATTGATATGCAAGTGCAAGTGCCCTTTGGGGCTGGCCATAACTCAATATCACAATTTCATTTGAGCTGCAGCAGAATATGGACTTGCTGCCTCCAAGGCGATGTCGGGCGTAGTTATGCATCAAAAATGTGGTCACTGTGAATTCCAAGGTCCAAATAGGCCCCTTCAGATAGATGCTGCAGTGCTTTTGATGCACGGTGTACACCAATGTATTGGCTTGGCAGTTTGTGCGCCCTGACACCAAACTACTATGCTGCCTGGTTGGCTTGCAGCTTGTGCAACGCTTGTCTGTTGAATTAGCGCTGAAATGAGCTGACACGGATGAAAGAAGCCAAAAAAGCAGTGTTGAGAATGTATCCTGGGTGCCAGTATCGAAACACTGGAGTAGGAGAAACTGGCCAACAAGACAAGCAGGCATCCACCATATTCATTGAATCGGTTTAATGGATGTTCCTGTTTCCACAGCAACACCAAGAACCCCTTTTCTCCCTTACACTCCTTCCCTTCCCTGTCTCATTGAGCTACTTGAGCTGTTTCTGCTGCTTGAGCTCCAGCGAGTGATGGGACCCCTGGCTCTGGCTTTTTGTAGTGCTGAAGCCAGCTGCACCAAAAGCTACATTAAATCACTGTCTTCGTGAAATAGCTTCTGTTCACCGCATCCAACACCACCCCTCCCTACATCCCAAGGGGGTCCGCTGCAGCAAATGCCGCTCAAAAGCAAAAGCGCAATCATCCGCTTCTTGAATTCTGGCGGCACGGGCAGTTGTGGAACAGCTCGACGACTGACTTGTCAGAAATGTTGGCGGTGGAATTTGGACTAGTTTTTTCGGCGTTTCTTCGATAGAGGCTGCTGTTGTATCCACGCAGCTCAGCACCAACGGCACCGTGTGGCGTCGCCATGCTGAGGGTTGAGTCCGTTGGGTGCTTGGCGTGCCTTAAGCATTGTAGATCTTTCCGTTTTCAATTTTCACCATTGGACAGCCATGACTTGCTGTGCATCGGGGCGAGGCGAATCCACCAATTGGCGCGTTGGCGCGTCTTGAATGTGATGTTAGAATCTGCGGAGTTTTGCTGAGCTCAATGCGCCCTGCAGGACATGTTGTACGCTTCTTGGTGTGCCTTTTAATGCCGCCGTTCTCTCAGGGCCTAAGCGGGTCCTGACAGACAGGCAATCGTCCATTTTCACATTGTACAATGTCAGTGTTGTAATGGCTGTACTGAAAATTGAAACTGAAATTTTCTGCTTGGCTTTCATGCCCATCATCGCCTACCAGGTGCACGAGCTGTGTTTGTCATTTTGTGACAAATAGATTCCATGGATTTTGACGATAAGGAAAATTGAAACCAAGCTGAACTGTCTGCTATGTATGGCATATGTACCATAACCATATAATAACGACATTACAGTTAGAATGGTTGGCCGCAGGAATTGTGGCACTCCTTGAGCAACTCATGGCCGGGTGCCAAGGCACATCGATTGACCGCATGTGCCCTACCTACGCAGGCCCCACATGCATCACCACCGTCACTCAAAACGGTGCTGCCCTCCGGCTCCCCCCTGATTCAGTCCAACGCCCACCAGCCGCCGTGCACGGCCCTTGCCGACCCCCACAGCGCCGCGCCCGAAAAGGACATCGCCAACATGGGCCGTGTGATCGCCCTGTGCAGCCAGAACGCGCTGCAGAGGAGCATGGAGCGAACGGCCGCAGCCAAGCGGCGCGTAGAGCAGCTGTGGGAGAGGCTCGGGTGGGACTCCAGGGAGCAGAAGCGGGCAAGGGCCGAGGCGGAGGAAAGTGCGGGGTAAATGATACATGGAGCAATTTGTTGCGAGTCTATCAGTGATGCACATGTTTTCAGAAGAGCGAATGCATTTCGGGAGGGGGGGGGATTGGCACCGTATGGACGGCCCCGCCCGCCAGAATGTCGAGCAGACGGCAGGGGGAGGTGGGGGGATGTCCCCTGGTGAACAGCGGTTGGAGGTGGGCTCGTGACATCATTTGCGATGACGCCATTTCCATGGTGGTGGCGTCGTCGATTTGGCGCCTCTGGCCGTCGGTTTTGGCGTGTCGGTGCCCAGGTGCTGTGGATGAAACGGATGCAAGCGTGCTGTGCCGTTCGTAACTCTGTATTTGGATTTCTCAGTGGCGTGTGTTGATGGCGTGTGCCACAGGATTTCTATAATAATAACAATAAAGAAAAATGACTGTCAATATTGTACGCCACTCATCATAACTGCACAATTAACAATAGCAGTACAAGCTTTCTTTTTGAACCCAGAACTGGACCAAGAATTCCGAAATGACCTTGAATCCGTTTTATGAAACCTGGCTTGGGGGCTCCTGACGCGTTCGACCGACTCTAAGGAGCCCTTGCCGATGGGCTGTAAGTCCATCAGGCTTGCCTTGGCAACAGAAAAGAAACAACTGACGTGGCCCAGGGAAATTTGAAGCTTCCTCGCGGGCGCCGGTGCCCACAGTCGTGGATGCACGTCGTCATGGGCAATTAGCAAGAATGGTGATGCAGCGTCTCTACTGCAAGAAAAGGAGCGCACAGCACAAGCAGCACAAAGACACGCGGTATCTGAATAACCACGAATGCAGGCGCATGGAAGGCATCTCCAGCTGGAAACAAAAGCCTTGACGATTCTGTGCGATCTGAACTGTGAAATTTCGGAGTTCAATGGGCAACCTTTCCCACCAGGAGACAGTGCAGAAGCGTAGGGACAACGGTATGATGATTTCGTTGCGCCTAGCGTCAGATTCAGTCAGGCTCGTAGACTTCCACCTTCCTTTGCATATGACATTACTCAGGTTCATACCTGCTGATATCCCCCCTTTTCCCCTCCTGTCCACGTGCTCCTATTTGACGCTAAGCGTACCACAGTAGGCATACAGCAATCTCCCATTGAGAAGATCATGGTAGCTAGCACGATGTGCGAGCATATCTGACCTTGGGGACAACAGCTCCGCAGGTTAAAGTGTAAGATAGAGCTGAGCATTGCTAATTACCAGACAGAACCAAATACATGTTGTGGCCCATCTTGAGCATTCCCGCAGTGCACATATGTTGTGCACAAAAGGTGACGGTGCAGCCATCTGGTGGAACAGAAGCTGCACCCAAAATGGACTGCTTCAAGAGAGGACCATGAGAACAGTTATGAGATGCTCATTGAAAGAGTGCACTGGCAGGCCACATTCATCCGCCGTCTATTTGAAAATCCATTTTGTTCTTTCATCCACTGTCCGCCCTCTATATGCTCATTCAGCGGAGAAGGCCATCGCATGCAATCCGGATGAAACTTTTTGAACTCAAAAAGCTGCAGCCTCCTATGCAGATGGCCATAATCCGTCGCGTTCTGCAGCCCTGCCTTCAGTGCACTACAAGCCATGACCGCCCTCTCGTGCAGATTCTTCCACAGCCCCAATCTTATCGAAAGCCGTGTTCATGCCATATTATATCGCGTTTATACCGCAACAGTACTTATACATAATTAGATATTTTGTTTTCGATACTTACCAGCAGGCGCGCCAAAATCACGGCGCCACCTCCTAACTCCCGTCTCGCCATCCCGCACAGCGATCCCGCTTTGTTAACTCACACAAGAAATCAAGCAATTTTATGATATCCCTACTTCACGCACAGCACAAAGGAGGCAGGAGGTGGTGCGTGGGTACTTGAATCCACCATTCGCGCAGTGCGCCACGGTCCTCGCTGCTGCCTCAAAGAAGCGCTGATTCCAAGAGCATTGGATGGAAGACTCTAGCCGGCTTTATTTCCCTCCTGGCCGCTGACCGCAGATGGACCCAGTGCCAACTACGGCGGGTGAAGCAAGAGGGAAGGCTCCGCGACTTCCCCACAGCGCTCTAACAAAGCGCCTGGAAATCTTACGAAGCAGCGCCACAGACGCGGCGCGTGCATACTGCTCCTCAGCCGGAAGGAGTGCTTCCATTGTACTTATTGTGGCCCGAGTCTCACGATGGCCGAAACGGCGTGTATCCCGACTTGCGAACCGTCAGCCTTTTTGGGGGCAGAGACTTTCAGGCATGCACATTGAGCCGCCGGCAGCCGTCTCGCAGCAGATGAACTCCTGGCAGCATTGAAATATCGCCCCACATCGGTGGCCCTGGAAAAAAAATGCGTGGGCAGACGGCGTTCAGCTCCCAACGTGACGATCGAACATGAACATGGGCACATCCCGCACAATCGCGTATCACGTCCCCAAATCACTGCGTCACCCACAGAAGTCGCCAATTGGTCCACCCCTCAAGTGTCAACATACGCTGTGAATATTGGAATCTGAAGAACCCACGTCACATTTTCTGTGCGTTGGTGTGCAGAATATGTGTCCAGTGCGCGTGCTATCGTTGCGTGACATTTACGCATATTGGCGCTTCATACTCGCATTTACTGCAGACAACATACTTCCTGAAGTTCTCCACACCCAGTGCGGAAAGTCCAATCAACCCGGGCCTTGCGCTGCATACTTTGCTCTGGTCATTCTTCAACGCGACAAGCAGTACAACGCAATGCACGGTTCCGTGTTGCCCACCTTTGATCCACACTGATGTCCAAAGCGCCGGGGCATCTGAGTCCCGTCGCTGTCCACAGCGGAGCCAGATGGTGCTGGGCACTTCTCCTCACACTCCGCAACGCTCTCAAAATTGTTGTTATTTCCGCCGCAGCCTCCCCATATGAATGCCTCGCACCTGCCCCTCAAGTTATTGAAATAGTACCTCAAGTGATGCATCTCGCATGTCCCGGGGTCTTTGTGGAGCTGGCAGTCTCCTGAAGAGAAAAGAGCAGGGCAAATGTGAGAACAGCGCATGGCTGCAAGGAGACTGAAAATCAATCTTCATTACTTGTGACTATTGTCTAGGTTAAAGGAGCACACAGAAGTGAATTGCGTTTACCAGAACCAGACACTGTGCTCACTGTCCTGACAGCATGCAGACTTGATCAATTGTCATGAAATCCTAGTGACGAGTTACCATCTGAGATCATGTTTGTAAACCGGACAGAATTTCTAAACATTGGAATCTTATCTGGGTTCTTGATTGATGAATTGTTCCATAATTGTTTTCACAAATTTGCATGAAGCCCCAGGAAAATGTGGCCATAAAAATGATACAAAATTGCTGCACTGGATTAACAACTCCCAGAATATTGTGCGCATCCTCACAGACATCGTGGAGGACATCGTACTGATCATGGATTATGTCTGTTCTGAAGCCAGTCGATAACGCAACGTCAATATTCCCACAGTTGACAACGACCTGGATTAGACCCTGCTCTTTCTGAAGAGAACATGCACTGTTGTCCACATCGTTTTGCAAATGAACTTGTTGAGATTCTCCATTGCACAGATGCTACACCATTGCCATGGATAGCCAGTAGGTGACACAATCGCTGCATCGCACTTCCAGGGTGTCGATTCTAAGCAAGGAAATGCACATGAAGACGCATATTCCATCCACTGTCCCCTGATGCTCCAATGGCACCATTCAAACAACCAGCCAGCAAGTCATCAATAGCTGCCAAGCAGCACATCATACCCCAGGGCGCATTGACACACTAATGCATGTGTGTAGCTGTGTACCTGTTCCAGCATTCCACAACAAGCATCTACATAAGGGAGTGTAAAAACACCAGATGCACAACAACATCACCATTTCTGGCTCATGAAGCATCCAGCAATTCACGCTATTGACGCAAGCTTGCTACCAGAACGAATGTCAACCTGTCTTGTCGATGGAAAAATAAAGTCAGTGACTACATCCTTTGCATTTCGAGTGGTGGGAACAAAATCTGACAAAAGGTCTTGATGCATTCTTCTTTTACTGCTTCTTCAGCGTTTCCTTCTGAGCACCACGCCCATAGCCACAGAAGCCACAACACATTTTTCGAATGGCCTCAGATCCGGTGCTGAACGGGGCAAGCTGTATACAAGAGCGAGACACCACGAGGTGGACTTGAAATGCAACTATGCACGGAAACAACGCAAATGGCTGCCTCTCCAACGTGGGGTAATTTCCGCAACATGAAGCTTAAATACCGCGGGTGCAAAGAGGGGGAAAGCGTGGCCAAAAACGAAACTCATTCCACTTTCGCGACGCTCGACCTGCAATGCAAAATTTGCACTGACAGCTGAAAGCAGCTCCTCACCCGCTGGCACGGATACTTCTGTGGCCCCAGCCCGACCCTCTTCGCATACCACGGCCTCGTGGCTGCCCACGAACCACTCTGGCATGCAAGTGCACAGGTTCGGCTCGCAGTAGGCGCCTTCGTGCCCCACGCACCTTGCGAAGTCGCAAGGGTTCACGAGGCAGCTCAGCGGACCCCCCTCTCCGCCTGCGCAACTGGTGCAGTCCGGGCCCGAGCACGGGGCGCCTGCGACGGGGACACACGTCAACGCGCTGATGGGATAATCGCAAGGTGGGCATATGCATATGCGCATGCCCGCCTGAGGCGTGGTGCGCCCACGGGAGACCAACCGGCAAGTGTCTTGAACGCGCGCGGACGTGCCGCCGTTGGCTCCAAATCTGAGCTTGCAGAGCGCAGTCCAGCGAAGCCGAGGCCCCGCGTGTGTCTTGATCACGCGCGTGCCCCCGATCATGTGCGCCCATGCTTCCCCTCCCACGTGTTTCCATGCATCTCGAGTCCGGGGCCGAATGCGGCGGATTCCGAAAAAGCAACGGCACCAGGGTCCCACAGGTATCCTTCCTTTACTGAATCTCCCTCTCAAGGCGTCGCCGCGGCACCCAAGTTGCCGAGTGACGACGCGACCAAATGTGGCACAGCACCCCA